ATTTTTGAAGTAAAGTACATACAAGTAAGATTTTTTTCTTGGATATGGTTTTTCAAATATTTATTTTTTTGTATATATTCTTTTTTTGAAAATATGCATACAGCGCTAAAAAATAATTTTAATTGTTTGAAGCTCTTTTGGTTTTACCACGTGTTCTCATATTAAAAAGTAAAAACGTTTGTTCGCAAAATGTTGTTTTTAGTTTAGATTAACAAAAAAGCCTAAAATTCTATACAAAACCAGTTTTTTTAAGTTTTTGCTGTTTTTATACTAATTTCGAACACTGTGCTGCGTTTTGGAGTTTCGCAAAAATTTAACCCTTACAAATTCATTTGTCCACTAGTTTCTCAAGTTGCTAAATGGTAGAATCCATAGCAGTTGTTTACTGAAAAACATCCTCCGGAAAAACAAGGTCACACTTGAGCAAGACTATTAGTTTTCCGGTATTGTTTCAAATCATCGAATGAAACAAGTGCTTGAAAAACAAGCTGGGCTGTTTAATATCATGAAACCTGAAGCGATACACGCTTGCACGAAAGCAGCTTACACCGAATGATATATTTCAGTTTCCTTTCAGACCCAACTAACTTGCGTGTGTTTAATCTGTTTAGATCCACGATGGTCAGCATACAGCCCGAATTTATCGCATTAATTTGCTCTCTTTCTATATTAAAATTTTATTTTTCAGCAGTCTTAATTAGGGAAAACCCGAAAGGACAATAACCGCTTTTACGACACTCACGACGAGCAAATGCCAAAAATGCGGACAAACGTGTCACATCTGGCACCGTTTTGGTCTTAATTGAAAAATATTTAATTTTTATTAAGGGAGAAATGGGGAAATGGCAACGTCTTGAGAGCCTCAACGGTTATGTTTACGGCCGGGATTTAATTATTAACATTCCAAAAGACAGCCGAATTGTCTTAAAATGGGAAAACTAAGAGAAATTTGCTTCTCACAAATCGCAAGGATATAATTTTTTTTTGAAACGTTTCAGCATTGATTTCCGCGTTACTGTCAGTCCTAAAAATGAACAAACACTTTGTGTTATTGATTGCTCGTGAAAATAACAGAAAAATGACTAGAGATTTCACTTATCGAAATCAGTTCAAAAGTGTTCACTCGATGGTAAACGCCTAATGGTTTCCATTTGACGAACCATTTGTATCCATCATTTTACCTCTTCAAAACCATTGTTTATTTCCATTGATGGTAACATAAAAATAGCCGTTGCGATAACCAATGGAAGGACTACAGTCGAATCGATAAGCGAAAGCCGCATAATGCGGATTTGGCATGACTTCTAATGGAAGCGATTCAACCACTTAAGAGGCAACGTTTTAGAGAGATTTTTTTCCAAAAAGGTGATTAAGAATTCATGAACACGCGTAACTGCGATTATTGATCAAAATTTGCTCGAATTCTGGGATTTTTGCTTTATGACCACCCAAAGTGTGGCTTACTTTAAATAATAAGAAAATAAGAGCGATATTTTACTACAGATAATATAAAAGAAGGGAAAGAAGTGGTATAAAGATGAGTATAAAAGTGTGATTCACGTCACAAGGTTTTTATTTATTAGTTTTGTTAGAGGAGTTTCGTGCGTACACATCTTATTACTTTATTCCCAAAAATATTAGATAATTTATCAAGCGTAATGCGACTTTCAAAGCGTATTATTTGGATTTTTAATCAAAAGTTTCGCTGTTTTTTTCTAAAAATTGAAGCATTAAATTTAATTCGAACAGTAAAACTGATTGCGCTCTAAATTTCATTATTAGTAATTTTGCTTTTGTTTTTAAACTTTGCTACCACCTGCGCAGGAGGTAATTAATAATACTTTAATTCCATTAAATCCATAATTTGAAAACAATTTTTTTAAATTGGTATTATTCTGTAACTGTATACAAGAAAACAACTTTTTGTGAGTCTACAATGAAAGATCAAACATTTATAAGCCAGTAATTTTTTACTCCAACTTTAAAAAAATTCGTTTTCAGGGTCTATAAAGTAAAAGAAACACCAGACAAAGGTTGATAACATTGAAATAAAAGCTTCAGATACTTTTATACATATAATCTCTTCAAAGCTTTAATATGTTTCGTAAAACGCAATAAAACTACTAAATCCGAATTCAAAGTGAGATAAATTCGCCCTGAAATGTAAAGTTTCACATTTTACCAAAATTTTTGTTTACGTTCGATTAAATTTTGTTGCGTCAGTGTTATAGCTTCCTTCTTTTCAAGCCAAAAATTCCAATTAACTTACGACGCAATTATAATTACCACTGTATCGAGCGAAATTTGATCACGCCTCACTTAATCTCGCAAATTGATAAATTCCAACAATCGGATCTTCATCAGCTAATTGTCTCTAATTGTAATTAGATATGTCGAGGGTCGCTTTCAAGACATATCCGCTTTTGTACGCCATTTACTATTCCAACTTACAAAGCAAATTTATGGCGAGAACTAATTAATTCAATTGCAAAAAATAAGAAATACATTTAAATTAAAAAACATTATTTTCTCGAGGAAGTGCCAAAAATTAATAGCAGAACAACCACTAAAATAGGGAGCAAAAATTATCTGAATTTGTTTAAATAAGTAATAGACTTAAATCTTCTGACCTTAATTCAAAGATTTAAAAAATGTGGGCCTTAAAAAATATACTTCTATTTTTTATTTTTGAAATACAAGGTGTCTCAGCGAATTGAAAAAGTTCATTAGTGATATTTAAATAGTAAAATTTAAAAAAAATGTATAGGACATTGATAAATATACTAATCTAGTGCATTACCTAAAATTATTTTCAACCATATAGCACGTCCCAAAATTAAGTTACGATACAAACTTGTGTTTTTTAATGAAACTTAGTACGAGTATTTTTCTTGGCATTTTTGGATGTAATCTTTTAAAACAATCTTTTTACGCTAAACTTTTATTAGTCGATTTTGCTTAGTTTTAGAAACATTTTTTTTTACGGAAACATGCACTTTTTAAAAATTTATTACACAAAAACTAAGACAGCTAGAACAAATGTTTTCTTACTTCTGCAAAGAAGAAAGTACAGAATTTAAAGCTGTAGCAATTTTTTAGTGTTTTGCATTTGTAAAGATTAATAAATTAAGAAGTTTTTTAAAAAAAAATTAAATGGAACACTCTATTTTTTATTTTTGCATCTCAGATTGATAAATTGTCTATCTAAAAAATAAACCTTTAATGTCTAGAATTGATAAATGAAGAGATATTTAACATTCAATATTAATTGTAGCAACCATAGTTATTCCACCACGGATCACTTATCTGTTGATTTATCCAGAGATTGTAAAAGTCGTTAAAAATACTAAAATTCGAATTATTTTATTGTAAAAATAAAGAATAATAGATTCAGTTTAACACAAATGTGATTATTAAGTGATACTTCTTCCATCTCTTGTGCAACTGTGCACTTTTTGGCTACTGAAACAATAGTAATTATTTTTTTTTAATTTTTAACGTTAAATATCTTTTTAGTTATTGATTATAAACACATAAAAATAATAATTTTAGAAAGACAATTTAATAACCTTTTAAATGCAAAAACAATAAATAGGTGTTCTATTTAATTTTTTTAAGTTATTAAACTTTTAACATACGCCTTTATTTTGTTATCTTTGCAAATGCAACACACTAAAAAGCTTCTACCTTCTTCTTTGCGGTAGTAAAAAAAATTGTTCTAGCTGTTTTAGTTTTTGTGTAATAAATTTTTCAAAAGTGCATGTTTTTGTCAAAAAAAAAACGTCTTATTTTTAATATTAAGCAAAATCAAGCAATAAAAGTTTAGCTTAAAAACATTGTCATAAAAATGTACAACCCAAAACGCTAAGAAACATATGGTGTTTCAATTTAAAAAACACAAGTTTATATTGTAACTTATTTTTGAAACACGCTGTATAGTTAAAAATAATTTTAGGCGATTTTTTTTTCAATTTTACCACATAAAGATCAGTAGTGGACTTTTTCAACTCGCTAGGACACTGTATATTTTATAATTATTTTGAAAAAAAATCTTTAATTAAAAGAGCTTTTTTTTGCAATGACTACAGCTAATAACGTTTCAGCCAATGTTTTTCGAGAATTGAAAAATGATTAAAAAAAATAACATTCTTTTGGCAGTTTTTTAATTTGAATAAATTCAGAATTTATAAGGTATTTGTACAAAATTTATGACTATAAATTTGTTTTTAAATTTTTTTTTTTCAAAAACAATTTTTTTAATTACAATTAGCGCTTCCGCCATTACTCCCTCATCCGCCATTTTTCCAAATTGGCGCTAATTAGGGCGTGCAAAAAGCCCGTAGGCGTTGTACTTTTGTCGAGTCTGGCTTATAGCTTATTGTTTCAGAAAACAATTTCATGAATTCCCGTATTAACTGAAAACGTGTAATTCGGATTATGCGCCGTGGTAATTGCTCTTTTCTATAATCCTGTAGGATTTGCGGATTGTTAAGGTTTTAATCTGTGGCTTTGTTGAAAATCCAATCGAAAGAATTTATTCGCACAAATCGAAATTTATAGAGCCATCAGTTCGAATTTCCATCATGTCAACTGGAAGAAAACGCATTTACATAATGAAATGAATTTATTTTCATTCGTCGATCCGTGAAAACTCCACCAGTGTAAGAATCAGCGTACAAACTTTCAACTTAATTGACATTTTTCCCTGTTTTAACCACCTTAAAAACTCTCATAAAACTTGCATTAGTGTCTCTTTTGGGACGTATTATACGTAAACTGATACAAGAATAATTTTTCTCGGAAACTTTCCAAAGTGAAAGTTTTCCACTATCTCCTAAACCAAGTTAAATATTTCATCGTTATTTCGAGTGAGCGTTTTGTCAACACTTATTTAATGTCTTTGACATTTACATTTCACCCACTGAAGATGCGTTAAAACTTGGCACCTGTTGGTGACAAGTCGATTTATTCAGCGCCAAAAAACGATTTAAAAAACGTACCTTTGATGGTCTCGAGGCAATCACTGCCAAAAAGCAACCCACAAAGCCGGCGAGTCGCAAAAATGCACTTTCAAGCTCCGTGAGCCAATATCACAGCGCTGCAAAAGTACAACTGAAAGGAAAGCGTGCTGAAACGGCTGTACGAGGGTGTACGAAGCGCCGCGACGCGTCCGGAGCGTCGCTGAAAACTTGCCCAATTAGAGCAAAAACTATCACAAGTATGTTACCAAAGCCGGACAAAACTTGCGAAAAGTTTTTCAGTAACTCGATAAATAATTGAAAACGACTGAATTCGCTTCAATAATTCCGATGGCTGGAAATTATTTTAATCTGGGTGTGCAGTACGATGAGTGCAAGCTTCAAACTTTGCATTCAATTATTCAAAAGTTAAAGCCAATGAAGCTTCAAAAAACTGCTCTAAACTATTATAATGAAATAACAGCTAGTTAGAACAAAGAAAAAAATATTTAACATTGATTTTTGACAAATTGACCTTTCTTCACCCTGAATACTAAATAATTTTACATTTCAACTAAAATATCCAGGGCATGTTTACCTTAAGGCAATTTTATTTCAACGAATCCAGAAAAGTACACTGTATTTTTCTTTTAATAAATTTAATTTAAAATTTATCTAAGATGAAATGAAATAAAATTTAATTATTGTAAAATTTCAGAAAAAATACAAGTTTTGCTCAATTCTAATTTACACAACTCTCCTCTGCTAAAGCCTTCGGGGTCTAGGATTTAAAATTTATTACAATACGGTAGAAATTTATTCAAAATTCTAACTTGCATTAAATTTAAAATTTTGCATATAAAATTTTGGTGCAAAATAAGCACCCACATTCAAATCCCTTTACAATTTATTTAAAACGTAAAATCTGTAGTATAAAATTCGAAATCAGTAAAGTGAAATGTCCTGAAAGCAGGAAACGTATGATTTAATAATCAGTAGCGTTATAATTTTTTAACTTGAAACTTGAGTAAACAAGAAACAATCTGCTTCATTAAACGAAAAAATAGCTCAAACTGTCTTTTTGCGTCCAATAATAAGATTAAAGACGCAGTCTCAAAGGGTTTGAAGATGCATATTTTTGCCCGCATCATCGATTTATTTACTAATCGGGGCCCTTGAAGGGCCTTAACGCGGGCTCGCACCACTGGGGCGTCATTAACTCTCCTCGACTAAGCAGCTAGTCAGCAAAATCCTCCAAAGGGTGGATTCATATTAGCATGTTTCGAATCCGCCCTTGACCTTAAACCCAGAACCGGCCCTTGGAAACGTGGCGAAAATCGTCCGGAAAATGTCAGAATTCCGGTTTGTTTCAACTTGAATATCACCAACAATGAACAGGTGAATGATCAAACACTCCAGGGTCGGACTCGCTCATCCGGAACCGGCTGTAATAAAGAGCCGGAGTTTCATCACATATCTATTAATTACACACGAGTTGCAACGAACGAAATATTCGGCGGCTTTTCTGTCTGGTTACAGCTGATAGCGTTCCTGCGAACGAACACATGTTTGCGAAAATAAAATAATCGAACGGGAGATAACAGGAGGCCAAGGTGAAAATCAAAGAGAGGAAACCGTTTTAAATGCAAAATTTACCAATGAGTTAAATTGAAAAAAAGACTTGGAGCGTCTAGACTTGTTTAATGCCTTGTTAAGCGGGAAATGATGGACTTGTTTATTGCCTCGAATTACGACCAGCAACGCGAAATTAAAACTTTTTGAGAAACATGTTGGCGTTTTTATGCTTTCAGGCATTATTATAAAAAATTAAAATCCAACCAAAAGTCACAATTTTCGTGTTGAATTATTTTGCGCCAGAGTTTACGCGAAAAACTAAACCTGTACTCCCTCAAATAACAAGCCTTGACACATATTTTCTATTATATTTTGTTTACAAAAATATTATGTTTGACCAAGTTTTGTAGTGATTTTAAAGCAAACACAAAATAAAAAGTTCTTTCTTTTGTAAAAGGTGACAAGAAAATTCTTATAACAATACAAAAAGTAAACAAAAACACATACATTTATATTACAATTTCATTATTTTACTTATTATTAAAAGTTGAGTACCACCTATGTTTTTGTTGTCGTAAAACGAGTTTGATTAAAATTTTATGAAACAAAATTTTAGTGAAAAGGTCAAGAATCCTACTATAATAAGCATTTTAGTTATTAAATACAAGCTGTTTCGGTTGAACTTCACATTAGAAGTATTGGGAGTTTTAAGAGTGATTTTTATCTAAATTTTTGATTATAGCCATAATCGTTTAGATCTCGCTCAATGAAAACATTTTCAAAATGGCAGCACTTCCGGTTACACCGGAAATGGATATCAACTTTGTTGTTTTAAATAAAAAGTTATGTTTTTTTTTACTCAAGAGGTTTTGTGAGAGGTTTTATTAGACTTCCCTATGCCCAAATTTAATCGTTTTTGAAATATGAACCAATTTGCATCTTTTTCTCCAAAAATCGATAACTCCACTATTTTTAATTATTTTGAAATCGTATTTTGGCATACGAAAAAGAAAAGTTACATCTTTTTTTGCGTAAATTTTGGATTAATTTTGGGAAACTTCAAATAGCCGTAACTGATTTTTTTCAAATAGAAGGCCCCAATTTTTTCTTCACTATATTTATATAAAAAGGAGTTAATATAACTTGAAAATTATCAAACATAGGTATGTTTGAGATCGAAGCAGAACTAAATTCTCCTTCATTTAGTAAAGAAAAAATTGTGGTGTTTTATTTAGAAAAAATGAGTTAAGGTTTTTTTAAGTTTCCTAAACGTACCTTACATTTTGGCGGTTTGTTAATTATTTTTCCAATTACAAGTACACCAAAAGAAAGATCTAACCTTTTTCTCTCGTATACCCAAACACAGTTTCAACATAATAAAAAATTATAGAGTTATCAATTTTTCAATAGGAATATTTGAATCCAAAAAAAATCTAAATATTTAGAAAACGATTAAACTTAGGTATAAGAAAGACTGACAAAAATTATCTCAGAACCACTTGAGTAATTCAAAAACGCAATAAAAAAACATAACTTTCTATTTAAAATAACGAAGTTGATATCTACTTCCGGTGTAACAGAAAGTGTTGCCATCTTTAAAATAAATTCATTGAGCAGAACCTAACCGATTATAAAAAAACAAAATTTTAGATAAATATCATTGTTAGAACTCCCAATACTTCTAATGTGGGGTTTAGAAGAAACAGCCTGTATATAATCATGCGATCAAAAAAAATCAAAAAATACTGCAATATATTCAATAAAATTGAAGAAAAGTCATTTGAATAGAAATGTTCGTATTTTAAAAAAAGTATGTTACATTTATATTTTGTACTTTTATTTTCAGTATTATTAGTTTTTTTTAATTTTCATTGAAAATTATCTTATTTTGCAAAAAATAATTGAATAAAAATGTCAGAAAGACTAAACAACATCACTTTATTTTANACAACATCACTTTATTTTAAATAATGTAAATTTTATTATAAATTGTATCATTTTGTTTATTATTTATACTTTTATTTTTAGTTTTGTTAATAACTTTTCGTGATTAATTAAATTAGTACGAAAATTTGTTTTTTTTTGTGTCGTTAGTGAAACGTGACATTTCTTGGTTAAATATCACCAATTTGCAATGCGCGATAAGATAATAGCTTATTTGCATAAACACGATAAATAATAATTCCCATTGTGGGCATTTTCGTAATTCCTCGTCCAGTTTAGGAATTACAAGACTAATGTGAGGAAATACGAGTCGGAGTATTTAGATAAGGATGTATTCTAATTTTACTTATTCGGATATGTATACATTTTATCCGAGATAAATATACAAAAGGGAATTGAGGCAAAATGTGTATTAATAAGAGCTTTTGACTACAAATTTTGAGGTCAAATTTGAATAATTTTATTTAAAAAAAATGTTGTTTTCATTTACATTTCAAGGAATTGTAAGCAAATATGTTAAAAATTTACGCATCAATTAATTTTTATTTGAAACTAAATAATAAAATCGATAAATATCCCGGCGCATCCACCATTTTTGCACTATTTATAAAAGCTTCAAAAAGTGTCTGATGTCAGCTTTAGTAATTACCCAATTTTCCAATTAGTTTTTAACAGCTGGTCCACAATACTTGGCTAGAAGCCAAACAGGGAGGATTTGACAGGGTGATATAGTGCAAACGAGGCTTAATACGCATCGATGCTTTCCCACAATATTCATGCTTTATTGGGAGGATCAACATTGCAAGATTCGGTTAGTGGAGAAAAAATCCAGGAAAAGGAAGTTCGACCAAATGGAAAAAATATTTTTGCAAAACTGTCTGTTTTATTTCACTTTACCGGTGAAAACTTTCCTCACAAACAATTTCAAAATTATTTTCCCAGTGTTTATATTTACGACTATAGTTCCATTAAGCAAATATTGATTTATTGCACATATTTTATAAAATCATCGCCGCAAATAATCCTAATTCCCTACCTGGTTTTGCAAGTAATTAGAAAAACTCGCCTCGCCCAACTCGCATTAATTAAATCACGGTTTTTCCGGAAAACTTCGCCGTTTTAATAAAGTCTGCCATAAATAATGCCTTGGTAGAAAAGAGTCATCAATATGCCCCGGCCATGTTTGCCTTGCCACATTTGAATTTTTATCCACAGTCACGTCCACATATTTCATTAGAATAACATCGATTTCTCAGAAAGCTCGGAGGCAAATTGCTTGCCAAAATCAGGACGCTTTTGTGCCGACATTCTGTATAATTATCGCTCGATTTGATAAATAATTATGGAAATTGGAACTCAATAAAATTGCTTTACGCCAAGTGAAAAACGCAATAATTAAAATCTCGAGGTTCCGATGAACGTGTGCAAATAGCACGAATCTAGGCATTCGTCGAGCTTTGAGAAAGCCTCAAGGGAGGCCAGACTTTTGTTGAAAAAGTACTGTTGGTAATGATGGTTGCTTTGTAGTAAGAGAAAAATTTAAAAAGTTTCAGTTAAACCCTTTTCCAAATAGTTAGCCCGGCGCATCCACCATTTTAAAGCACAAAATTAATTCTAAAACGAATGAAAAATTT